CCCACTTGGCTCGCGTAAAAACAGAGCAACGAACAGAACGCCTAACAGGCCAATCATAAATGCTTTCTGAGCTCGTATGAGCAGTTGAAAAAAATGCAAAAGTTCGTTGCCAAATAGACTCGATCACATGACCTCACCCCTATGAAGCAAGAGCGTTATCCGCTAGATCACCACACTCACTGCATTAGATACTCTACGGCTGTTCTTATGGAGCCGAGTGGGACAGGGAATGTAGAGGGCGCCACAGTGAGAAGAATCCCTCGTAACTCGTTCAGAGAATCGTTCGGCAAAAACCGAAAACGGATTTGAGCTCAGCGTCGCAAGACGCGTGCATCGGACTACACCTCATTACAAATGGCCGGACCGACCAATTGACCATTCCTTGTTAGAACGGTGGCAGCAACTCCGAAAATCCTTTAGGACGTTTCACGATTTTGCGTGTCATCCTTGCGCAGGATCTACTCTGTATTGTTCCAATTTCAGTATATGTTGAGGAACGAACAGAATGATGTCAGATTTCATTCTTTTAGAGTTGTTTTCAACCCATGACCATGTAATTAAGGAATCAACGGCTTCATGCACATGATCGAGGACGTGCTCATCTACGAACCCGATCTTCGCGCTCATGGAGGTTATGTGGAAGTGTTGAGTTGGCAGTTGATGCTGGTGCTTGTCTTCATGCTATGGAGACCAGGTGGCCTGTCGTAGGCCCATTTGAACTCCCACATGGTGCTTTCTGTACTCCCAAGATGTACTGAGATTCAACCCCCTCCCGTGTTATGATATTCGTCATGGCATTCGTTTCAGCTCGACTGAGAGTTCTTCAGCGATTTTCAACCATATCACTTACAGTTTTATAATTTATAATCTCATCATGACCGTCGGGTACTTTCTTTTGTTTTTCAGCAATAAATAATTTGACTCTGATTTTTGTATTTACGAGACCATTCAGCCATCTCGATATCAGGGCTACTTTGAGGGTCAATTGCTGCTCCTAAACAGTCAGTCTTCATTTCCCAATCTCCTCAAACGCGGCCCCAGGAGTTGTATTCTCTTCTGGAACACTCATGGCCAGGCCAGTGGGCGAAGTCCCTTTATCAATCAGATCTTGTATCTGAACAAGTGGATGGGGTCTCTTTATCAATCATGTACCAGAATCTCATTGATAAAATGAAGGATAACAGGTATGGTTCATTCTCGTTCTCGTTAGTGTCAGCACAGAGTTTAGTGAGTTTCGTTGCGTATATCGAAAAAAAGGGAATGCTTGTAACGTGTGAACTCGACCTGGATTGCAACTCAATCACAAAGACTTCACAACAACTTTAGTCCTAGCCTGACCCCGGCGGCGTCATACTCTTATGAAGCTGGTTTTGCATGTGGTATCTTTTTCCACATTTTCAGGAATCAACTTTACGGGAGCCTAATCCTTGAAAATGTGGAAAGTGATAGCAGAAACTGATTGCTAATAAACAGGGAGCGTGGTGTGTGTAAGTGTATTCACCTTCACCGTAATCATCCAGCCGCTATAGCAAGATACGGGGGCATGGTGGCAATGCATTCAAAATCGCTTGAAACTCTCCTTTTTCGGGACTAACCAAAAACGGTACTAATCATAAGCCATGGGCAGGGTAGGAGTGACTTCAGGGTGCGTGAGCAATGTTCAGTTCCCTCGAAGTTTCTGCCACCTCCAGGTTCTTGTTTAGGGAATGCCTCCCGTATTGTGCGATAGCACCCTCAGTCACTTCGTGTATGAAGAGCGAACGACGTCCGGGCGTGTCTAACTGCCCAACTCAAGCGCTAGTGCTAGCTTTTGAAGGGGACTTCCACAAAAGGACAAAGGTCGAAGAAGGGGAAGCTTACTTAGTGAAGAGACAGGCGAACTCCCCGAGGCTACGAACCTTTGGGCGAAGGGCATGCTTCCGGCAATCTAGCGTGGCCCTATTGGCTGTTGAGCAGGTACGGTACCCCACTCGTGATCAGCGGCGAACCTGGGGTTCCTGCAGCGAAAAATGTTCCACGCTGCAAAACGCGAAAAAATTGCTTTCTTTCGTTGGTGACCCCCCCCCCTCGCGTTGTCTCGTGTCTGAGTCTCTAGCCGTTTGGCAGTGAGAGTTAGCGTTGAAGAGGCATCGCCAATGAGAGTCGCACCAATGCGGAATGGGAGATGGGCAATTCAGCCATCAGCTAATGTGGTCACGCCGCTCAAGCGGCGAGCAGTGTCGCGTGTGACAGTTGGTGCGGCGATTTCTGTGTGGACCACGGCTTAACCATCCATGTCTATAAGTGTGGCTAGGTGAGCTGATGATTAGACCAGAGTGCTAGACATCAGCAAACCAATAGCTTCACCCCTAGAAGATCTCCGCCAACGGGCAAGGAAGGGGCCTAATTTTTCGGGTTTCAGACCGCTTTTCTTGGTTTCTTCTTCTTTCGTGCATCACTTACGATCTCTACTTAAACTCCAAATAAACCTTTTCATCGTAAAATCCCTCTCGCCAACTAGGCAGCATAAGGTCAAAGGTAAACTGCGCGATGTTGTGCACATCTGCGGCTATCTGCGAATCAAGATAGCGCGTGAGAAATCAAGCAAGGGGGATTCGAGAAACCTACTACGGTTATTATGGCACCATCGATATATCCACAACACACCCAGTTTCTACAAGTTTTAGATAGCACTGCAACTTGACCAACGGACAGGCACACAGATAGACGTGTTTAGCAGATCATTTTTGGAAGTATATCAGCTTATAGTTTCGCGAGGCCTTAACCTGAAGGTGTGTAGCGGTTTGTAATACAGAACACTATTGGCTATACATATTTATTATAAGGTAATGAGAGAAGGGAAGACGGGGTGGAGGTAGTGAGTGACGACTGACGACTCAACGACTCCTTATCTCGGGGTCGACGGGGACCGGTACCATCAGCCGGGGCCACGCCCATCTATCGAAGACGTGGACCCGACAAGTACGGCAATTTCTAGAGACCTCTGAATGCTTGGAGGGTTTGTGGACAGCACCATAGGGATTATTAAGTCAGTCACAAATACAAATAATCAGAGCCTGTCTAAAAGCGTTTTGGACCAAGAAAGTGGAAATCACAGAAATGCAAAAATTTGTTCTCAGTGGGGATCGAACCACAAGCCATGGTTTCGACATGTTTTTAGCATTCCCAGAGCCGCTCAGAAAAAAAATTATTCTCAGTTTTATGCTCCTGCGCGTGTCTCTATAACATACAAGGACCGTTTTGAAAAAGCGCTCCATGTCCTGCAAGACCTTGCTGGTGAGATGCGTCATGCACTCGTTTGCAATTCAAATATTAAATATTTCCATTTCGATAGTGCTTGGTATCGAAATGGAAATATTTTTGTGATTCTGAAAGCCAAGCCGTCAGAGCTTACAATCTTTCCTATGCAAAGCGCCACTCAAACTATCGGCCAATCCGTTCAGCTGCAATGAAGGCACTTCATTTTGCGATTTTGTGCTTGTCAGTACATTACTGAAGCTCATGTTCTGCTACTTGTGTTCGATCCAAGATAAGTACCTTGTGATTTTTTGCACTTATTTCCCGTAATGTTAGTAGCTCTTCCTTGGCAGTGTACACAATAAGTGCTGGGGGGGGGGTCGTAAAATTTCTAAAATCGGTCACGTGACGGTTGACTGCGATCCACTGTATACTCTGAGATATCAATGGTGACGCTGCAGTATGCTCAAGGAATAGAGTGTACTAAGCAGTGGTAAAGACTTCGAGGTACTAGGGCAGCGAGTGCTGACCAGGGTTAGCCGTCCCTCAGTTATTTATCAACGAGGGGGTCGTATTTGGGCTAGAGGGCAAGGGGGGCATATGTTGGCTCTATATTCTTGATGATGATACAGGGGACGTAGGGTCAAATCTGAGATTTTCAGAGGACGTCCAGTAGGTGGATGAGGTGGATGTAGGGGAAGGGGTGGTGTTGCATTGGAGGTGGGAGAGTGTATTTTTGACAGGTTTTGACGATTTTGACTAAAGAAAGCGCTAAAGAAACTTCGCTAAAGGAAGCGTGAAAACGCAAACGCATGACCTCGTTTTCTGGGACATCCCGTTCTTCTGGGTCTTCAGAGGACGTCCTGTAGGTGGATGTAGGGGGGGGGGGTGATGTTTTCCTCCCCTCCCACTATCCTTCCTCCTGAGTGAAGAAGACGAAGAACATCCGTGCCCACCTCTTCGATTCCTGCAGTCCTTCCTGCCCTTAACCTACGCCTCAGAGACTTGGACTCTGCGCAGGCAGGACGAGCATGCGGTCAGCGTTATCCAACGCGCTGTCGAGAGGACGATGCTAGGAGTAACCCTATACACGCAAGTGCAGAGGGGAATCCGGAGTTCCGAACTACGCCAACGATCGAAGATCAGGGACGCTGCCGTTTTCGCCAAGGAATCGAAGATAAGGTGGGCCGGACACGTCATGCGATTTTGCGATGACCGTTGGACCAGAGCGGTTACCGACTGGATCCCTCGGGACGTCAAACGAACACCTGGACGACCGCCGGCCCGATGGTCAGACTTCTTCACGAAAGCTCTGAACGAAAGGAATGAAGGACTTCGTGTCCCTCGAGCGAGGAGGGTCCACTGGACAACTCTTGCACGCGACAGGGACGAATGGAGACGTTGCTGGCGCCCGCTCGAGCAATTCGATGATCAACGGGACGACAGGTGATACAGGTGATACCGTCCCCCCTTGCTTTCTCATAACTAATTTCCGAAGAAGC